GTAACAGTCGGTGCCGGGGGATATGGAGAACTTAAACTCTGCAAACATACACATGACACATGCGAGGGGGGGGCTTGGCCTCCCCCCCATCAGGATACCCTTCTTCTGTCGTAGAACGAAAGAAGGTATTCTTTAACTGGAAATTAGTCAGGTCGACCAGCTTGCTCAGCCTTACTGACTTCCAATCCACTTCTCCGTGCGATTTCCCAAACGTAGCGAGTTTCTTCCGACTGTTGGAGCTGATCCATTTGACATTTTTATCGGCAAAACACATTGACAATCCACTCCACTGAATTGCATATCTCAGCATGTGGAAGATGCGTGAACATTTCCTTAATATCATATGTGCGGGCTATGACATTACGGTCACAGTCTCACTGCATTTCGTGTTAATTCTCTAAATCTCAGTTCTTAGATCTTCCAGACTTCTTAGATTAAACGTCATTAAAGTGTGGTACTCTTACACGGCTTATCAGTTCGTTCAAACACAGGGAAAGCACACCAGAGGCAGCACGATAAGGACTAAGGTAGGAGTGGACAATAGGTCTCCTCTTCTCCTTTCCTTTGCCATAATATAGGTATGTTGCAAGACCCCGCATACATCCCAATTTGAAATGTCAGAAAATCCTTCTTTCTTGTATTCCTGCCGGTATGATAGTTTTCATAAAAAACATGGATTATTGTTTGTGCCATTGGAGGTTAAACCATAGCAGCGATCTGGACACCCGGACAGGGATCTGGACCGTCCGGTGTCTGGATCAGGGGTCCGGACCCCTGTCTGGATCCCTGTCCGGATGGCTGGAAAATGGGGGGTGGCCCAATTCTTTTTTGTTGGCCCAGGTTATTTTTTTCCATCCAGGGGTGCCGTGGAAAAATACTGGCTGGTTTTTTATGGGCCCCGACTGGCATCCAGACAGGACAAGAAGGAGGCCATTTCATAATAATATAAAAAGTTAAAAAAAGTTAAAAAAACTCCCTTCCATGAACGTAATTGCGCTCTCCCCTCGCGTGTTTGAATTAAACAAAGATTGTTTTTTGCACAAGGGCGTTACTCAGCCCTTTCCAATGCGCCCATGTCTTCCCAGGATTCGACACTTAGTACATTCCCGCAAAAACAGAGAACAACTTCAAAGAAAAATGGCAAACAATGATTCCTCTTTCAGAGAGACAATAGCGCCTGTCAGAACGGGTGCATGCAACAAATCTGGCGAATTCCTATCCCCCAGTTTTCTCTCCGCTCGCCGCTTGGTGGGCTCCATTTTTTCACTTTATCTTTTCTGGTGGCTGTTGGCGGAAAAGCCAACAGCAATTCAGCCCTGGCTCAATGGAACACCAATACCAACTGGCCCACGTCAGTTGGGACACCCATGAACGGCTGAAGGGGACACCCATACCACGGGCCCTTCTCCTTCTATCAGCACATCGATGCAGGTTTGTTTGTTTGTTCTTTTCTTTCTTTCTTTCTTTCTTCTTCTTCTTCTTCTTCTTTTTTTTTTTTTTTTTTTTTTTTCCTGGT